CCCACGTGGACTGCTGACCATCACCGCCTTACTTTGGACTCCCCGCCAACCTGGTGGTACCTGCTGGCAAAGTGTTCAATTCGAGAGTGTGTGTCAGCGTGTGGTAACATCGGGGAAGAAGCCGGCCTAGGAGAAAGCAGCAAAGACTCAGAGGACCAAAGACTCAGCAGCTGGACAGCCAGGTTTTCCTCTCCCCAGCCCCAAGGCAAGGACATGAGTCAGAACTGATCAACACGGGATTCAGGGACTGAACTCCAAACTCAGGGCCAGAGTCCTGGTCAGTCCCAAGTTGAACTGGCCCGGGTTGTTGGTCAGATGTGCTCTGGCCTCCTCCCCTAGTCCACATGGGCCACAGCCCCTGAGGGAACACGGCCAGACTCAGTGAGCGCAGCTGCCTGCAGGCCTCTACTCACGTCTCGCTGTAGTCAGCCTCCAGGACTGATTGTACCGGCAGATAACCTCGTTGAGGATGTTTGCTGAAATAATGCTTGGAGCGGAATTTGTTCTTTAAGGTGGTGGCAAAGTCCCTCATGTTCTCACTGGATGTTGTCTGGAAGGAGGCGGGGATGAGAAATTCACAAATCCCACAGGTTTGGTGGGAAGGGCGGCTGCTCCCGCCCTCCCCGCTCTGGGGCAGGGAACGGGCCTGCCAACCCACACTTGTTACTTGTTCCTAGCTACCACACCCTGCTCCGAGTAGGACCAGGACAAACCTCAGAACTGAACACAGGCTGCCTGTGGGAAGATGCGCTGGAGGGGGAAGGGGCAGGGGAGGGGGAAGGAAACAGAAAACGTGGGTTTTGTTTATTTTTCACACTGTGATACAACTAGGTTCTTTTCCTGTGAGCACATAGTTGTTAATTCTTCATACATAGACATATGAACCTACACATATAGGTACACTTGTGTGTATCTATCTAAATATTCGTATACCTAAACCCATATATGTATATGTGTGTGTGTGTGTGTGTGTGTGTGTGCATTCATTTGGCGCTACCCTGTGGTCACTGGGTCGAGCTGACTCATAGTGTTGTTGTTGTTGCTGCTGTTAGGTGCTGTGGTGTCAGGGCCAAGTCATAGCAAACCCTCGGCCAGCAAAACCAAACACTGGCCAGGCCCAAGCCAACCTCACCATGGTTTTTTATGTGTGAACCTATCATTGCAGCCACCGTGGAGATCCATCTCTATCTGTGCAGAGGAGACCCTGTCTCCCACTCAATCATGCATGTTTCAACAGAGGTTGGAGAAAAGGGGCTCACTGGGAAAGAATGGATTTGGACAAGACTGGTTGAAAGATGTTAATGAAAGATGAGAGAGCTCAGGATATGTTTGAGGTTTAAGAAGTCTATGAGGGGAAAAATGAGGACCTAATGTCGGGGGTTTAAATGGAGAGAAAATGTTTTGAGAAACGATGTACAAATGCGCTTTACACAATTGATGTGTGTATGGATTGGGATAACAGTTGTATGAGCCCCTAATAAAATGTTAAAAAAGAAAAAAAAAAAAGAAGTCTATGTAGGGGCAGAAAGGAATCCAAGATGATTAGGCAGCAAAGTCAGCACAGGATACGAAGTATGGAGCTGTGGAACTGTGGAGCTGTGGATCCTGACTACAGCAAAAGAGATGTCCCTGAGACTTTTCACTGTAGTTAAATTGGGAGTGTCTTTTGAATGGCTGAGGTGTCCTGGACTGCTGAAGCCAGTGGCGGGCCGCAGGGATGAAGAAGCGCTGCTGGTGGACTAGAGGTCCAAGTTTCCCCAAACGGGTCAAGCATCAAAACTGTTGGGAGAATGTTCTCCAAAGAATAACAGAACACAGTTAACCAATGCTTGAGCAAGTAGGCCAAGGGGCCAGTACCTGAGAGCTAGCTACCCTTCCCTCGCAGCCCAGAGGCTCCATACCGGGGTATAATACTCCATGATGGGGTAGTGTAGCTTGTTGCCTTTGCTGGCCCTGCCTGTCAGGAAGCAGGTCTGGCAGATGTCCACATTAAATTGCTTCAGACTCCGGTACCTTGGAGAAATGACAGATGGCAGGAAAGAGAATCCAATTTGTCACTGTGATCCCCTTTGCTCCCCGAGCATCCAAATATACACACACAGTGGAAGGAGGGAAGAGTCTATGACTAACCTTATTCTAGGAACTCTAAATCGCCATGAAATGACAAGTGTAGATCACCAGGAAGTATGGAAAATGACATGGTCTTACCACACATTTTTTAAAGGGGGGTTGGGTGGGGTGGACAGGGATCAAGATCTCATGAGATCAAATTGATTTGTAAACAAAGATGGGCCCCAAAGGGTCCAGTATCATAAGTACTATCATCTACTATCATACTTCCAATAGGAAGGCCACCTCTCCTACCAGCCCTGGGCAAGTTGCTGCTTCCAGGGATTATTTGCAATTAGCACTCTCTTATTATAGAAAACAGAATAGTCCATCAGATGCAGGCCCAAAGCTTCACTGCACTGCCCACAGGTAATAGTACAGCATAGTGAAATGCTTAGATTTAAAGGGGCCAGAGAATGTAATATTAACTGTGTGAACTTGGGGGTCTACCTCTGTACAAAATTCAGGAAAGTGACTAACTTCATGGGGGAAAGCAGAGACTGTAACCAGGGAAACCTCAAATGTACTGTAATCATGTGTTACTTCCTAAACGGGATGGTAGGTACCATTGCGGTGTGCCTGGAGTCAGCTCATCCCAGCGTTCACGAGCTGCTGGTTAAAGCTTTGGTTAAATACCAACGCAAACTCATGTGGTCAAGTTGATTCGAGTCATAGCAACCCTATACAGGGTCTCCCAGGCTGTAAATCTTTACAGGAGCAGTCCAACGCTCACCTGGCAGAGTCACCAGGGCTAAATACAGTCATCATTAAAAAATGAAACGTTCCCTACTGACATGGATGGATTTAGAGGGCATTATGCTGGGTGAAGTTAGTCACTCACAAAAGGACAAATATTCTATGAGACCAGTGTTACTTTAAAAAAAAAGGAAGGTAAAGGTTTCCATACCCCAAACCAAAAACCAGGCTTAGCTGGTTTCCAGGGCTAACAAGTAAAAGGAAGTAATAGGCTAGGAGGAAGATTAGTTTTAACTTGGTGAAAGGGGAAGACCATGTCCTATCAGAGGGGGTGGGAATAAGTGGCATGGGGGAGAAAAAACAAGGTATTAAGAGGGTTGTTGTTAAATTAAAAAAATGATGATCTAAAAACATGACGATCTGATATGCAAGCCCCTACCTAATTCACGATAATTTTTTTATTTAAGGGCTCTAAACGCACAGTTAAATAAACTAGGCCGACAACAAAGTAATGCTCAAAATCCCCCACTTCCTGATTCTTTTATGATCTTGAGGTTATTGTCAGTTGCATCGGCGTGATGGAAACACTAGAAATAATGCGCTCCTCGGCTTCTCTTGACCACCCTGTGTTCAAGGTTTTCCTTTTGGTAGACTGACATTGGCCATGGCAGGGGTACTGACATCACAGAAATTAGCAACTGTAACAATTCAAAATACAAAAACCAACCCAAACCCAACCCATTACCTTGGAGTCCATTTGGGTTCATAGTGACCCTTATGGCACAGGGTAGAGCTGCCCTGCAGGGTTTCCAGGGCTGTAAATCTTTAGGGAAGCCCACTGCCACCTTTCTCCACAGAGCTGCTATGGGTTCAAGCTGCTGACCTTAGAGTTTTCAGTCGAGCACTTAATCATTGCGCCACCAGTGCTCCTTAGATCCACATCACTTGGTATTTTTATATTATTCTCTTTCCATTTTTACAGGGCTGCAGTATTTCATAGCACAACCCAAATAAAATAAACGATCTCCCAAACTGAGACCAAACTCAGCACCATCAAGCCGATTCCAACTCATAGCAACCCAATAGGATGGAGTCGAACAGACTGTCAATTGTTAGGGGAGAAGAAAGCTGCGTCTCTCTCCCATGCCATCGTTGGAACCCTGGTGGAGTAGTGGACTGTGAGTTTGGCTACTAGTTCAAAACCACCAGCTGCTCCAAGGGTTACTAGGGGTCAGAATTGATTTGGTGACAGTGAGTTTGGTTTGTTTTACTTTTAACACTATTTCATAATAGCCAAGTTTCCCCCAAATGAACCACTCTGCAAATAGAAAGGATTACAACAATGTAAGACTGTATATAACAGATCACCTCTCATGCTATCAGGCATTGCCTGGTTAGTATATAATGATAGGTATTGAATTTCCTACCTGAAGCCTTTGATGGGGCACTGCCTACAGACAGAGCACTTGGTCTGATGTTTTACTTGCTCGGCAATGGTGACTCGGTGCAGAACAGCCAGCCACACCATCGACTGGGGCTCCAAGTTGACCCACTCCAGGAACTGGGAAACTTCGATGACTGACTTCCCAGTGCTCTAGGGAAACAAGAAGCGCAACAGGAAAGAGTGATGTTCAAAGTGTCCTGCTCCTTAGCATGGTAGTCCTCAGAGAAGCCGGGAACTCTGCAGGGCCTTGATTGGCGAACTATCCAGAGTTATATCCACCTCCCACCCTGTCCTGGTTCACCAGGCACCCTCCGCAACAGGATTCTAACCCTTTAAGAGCCCAGAGGATCCTCTGTCCTGTCGTGCCATACTAAGAAACTCTCTTACAGCTGAGTACTTTAGCTCAAGAGCAAGCCATTTAGATCAAGTCTTCTCATCCCTCTCCTCTCCTCCCCTCCCCTCCCCTCTCCTTTCTTCCTTCTCCCCTCTCCTTCTGTTACTTGCTCCATACTCACAAAACGGAAGCAACTACGGACACTGGGTTCCACGTTGCTGCCTCCGAAGGCCGCCACTTCACCCAGTTGACGGGGCACTTGAATGGCCTCATGAAGCAGGACACCAAGGTGGCGTTGATCACACTGGCTGCCTGAGTTGGCCACTTGGCTGAAGAGGTCTGCTGGCCTCACCATATGAAATGGCAAACCCAAGATGCAGGGATGGTCACAGAATGGGGGTGGGGGGTGGGGGCAAAAGGCAGGAAAAGGAAGACAAGGAAAGAACACAGAGACGTCACTAATGACTTTGGGAGGCGGCGTGCCTAGAAGTCCATTCCTGATCTAGAAGCCCAGGGGTTCTCAACTGAGCATTTCAGAACACAGAGAGCAAAGTGAGACAGACAGGGGGAGAGAGAGCGCGCATCAGGAAGGTGGGGGGTGGGGTGAGGAGGGGAGAGCAGGGTGTGAAAGCAGTGCCAGACACAGACATGGCAGTGTTGGGAAAACAAATGCCTGAAGAAGCAAGATGAGGGAAAGAGTAACGGAAGCAAGATGAGAGCGTGTGTGATTTAGCTGGGCTACCATATCCACTCCAGTTCACATAGTAGCTCAAACGGTTTGCTACCACAGTCATTGCTCAGTGACCACTACAAACTGTCACAGGTCATCCATAAAGGAGAGATGATCCAAAGCTTCGGATTACCTACAATGATCTCTAAAGGGCTGTGGAATATACGTGGGCACTTGTATTTGGGTATGTTCTGGAAACCCCACCATCTCAGCCCAAACTTAGAAAATCTGCCACCAGAGGATACAGTCTATCGGCTGCATCTCTCACCTTCCCAAACCAAACCAAACATTCACTATCATTGAGTCCATTCTGCCTCTGAGCAACCCGGTACCTCCCCTAAGGCTGAGGAAGATACAGAGAAGTAGAAGGCAGAGCACCTGGGTGAAGTTCTCGCACCATTACTTACTCACATGCAAAACCTTGGGTAAGCCACGAACCTCTCTATGCTGCTGTTCCTTTGCTTGTAAATTGAGGATAAGTCATCACTGGCTATCCCTTCTCAAAGGAATGTTGGGAGACATAATTGAGGCTATAGCTATGAATAGGCTTTGAAAAGCCTATTCTCGGTAAAGATATCGTAGGTCACTGCCATCCCTCTAGTCTGATCTCAAACATCACATATCTTTTGTCTTTCAGATGATTTGAATTAGTGTATTTTTTCTCTCTCTTTTAATGCTTTCTCTGCTCTTGTCTCGCCACACACGAGGCAAAGAGCATGTCTAATTTAACTTAGTATGCAACACATTGAAGGAGCCCTAATACTGTAGTAGGTTACGCATTGGGCTGCTATTCTCAAGGTCAGTAGTTCAACACCACAAGCTTCTGCATGGGAGAAACATGAGGTTTTCTACTCCCACAAAGAGTTACGAGGGCAATGAATGTACAAATGTGCTTTATACAATTGATGTATGTATGGATTGGGATAAGAGTTGTATGAGCCCCTAATAAAATGATTTTTTAAAAAAGAGTTACAGCCTTGGAAACCAACAGGGACAGTGCTACCCTGTCCTATAGGGTCACTCTGAGTTGAAATTGATCTGATGACAGTGAGTGAGATGCAATACATTTAGCACATGCACTCAACACATGTGCTCAACAACAAGTAATGGTGTGGGAGAATGGTACAAAGGGTACAAGATGCACAAAAGATGGAGGAGCAGGAAGGAGGAGGGGACAAAAGATCCTTTAAACCAGAGAAGTTAAAAGCTACATACTGTCTACCTCTCAGATACTGGGGATTATTGTACCTTGTCTATGTAACCATATGAGGAGGTTCCGGTAAAAAGTGTGACATGGCTTCAGTTGCAATCTGGGAGAGAGTTAATCTTGGTGGGCCAAGGGAGATTGAAACTAGAAAGTCAGGGCCTAGGTACTTTAGGAAGCCAACAGAGATCCTGACCAAGTCTTAGATTTGAAGAAAATAAACCCTGGACTAACAGGTCTTAGACCCACTTGGTCTTAGGTTGCTATGTGTTTGTTTGTTTGTTTGTTTTTCTCAATAGCCTTGAGCAGAAAGCTCCACAAGATAGTCTGAATATCTCTCGGTTGAGTCATAAAACCTCCTGTCTGCTTAGCTCACACCTGTTCGCCTCCCTACAACACCTCTTTCTCCACCCCACTGCACTCTGGACATTGAGGTTATACTCACACTGAAGTTTTTCCTTTACTTCTGTGCCACACAGGCATGCAATGCCAGTCTTAAAGGACAATGCCCGCATCTTGCCACTGCGACCACTAGGTTTAAAAGAAGAGTCTGAGAACATGAATATATGTTAAGGGTTAACATCTAGGCAGTCTTTTTCTGAGCAAGGTTCGGCGGTAACCATGTCCCAAACTGAGCTGGGTCCTGGTCCACCTTGGGAGCAATCTCTTCCCACCATGCCTATTTCCAGGGTATCCCCTGGCCTTCCAGACTGGAGGCTTCCCGGGATGCCAGAGCTTACCTGTCAAAAACATTGAGGAGCCAGTTGAGGCTCATGTCCACACACAGTGGCACGTTGACCAGGATGCCTCTTTCTTCCTCCAGTCGCTCATATAAAGCAGTGAGGCAATGAATGACCTCCACCACATCCATCACATGCTCACTGGCCTGCAGATCATGCTCACTGAAGATATCCAGGGCCGTGGTTAACGTTACAAGGTCCACTGGGAAGGAAAGGAGAGAGGGAAAAACGTAGCCAGAAAGAGACCCCCCCCCCCCCGGGGTTAGACAAGGAGAGAAGGCCATCACTGTCACCAATTTTGACTCAGTTCAGCTCTTTACCAAAACCCTCAACCCAAGGAGGATGAGGGAAGTCAAAGCCTCCTGAAATTAAATCAAGATATGTCTATACCTCAAAGACCTTTATGTGACATCATTTTCAAGAAGATAGTGGGATGTGACTCACTTCACCTCTTATGTGACACTGACTTCCAAGGGATCGAATCTCATTTTCTCTGTCTTTGCACATATCTCAACTGAAACGAGGCTTGTCCTGGAACCTTGTACGGAGAAGCTAGATGGTAGTTACGATGGCTCAGGCATGACTGAGTAAATGCGCTGTATCTCAAGGAGGCTTTTTGTATGTATGTGTGAGTTGGGCGAAGGCTTACCAAGCAAATCAGCTTTCTATTCAATGATTCATATGCATTTCATTTCATGTCATTGATCGCAATCCCCACAATGCAACATCCCTCCTCCCGTTTCCTCCCTGTGTTTCCCATTTCCATTTCCCCTTCTTTCCTAAAAATTCCTGCCTCTAAAGTTCATCCTTGGCAAATGCTGCCCTTTGATTCCAAGTAGGTGATGTTGCTAAGGAGTGTGTACCTCTCGAGTGTGATTTTTCCCTTATAGATCTGTCTATTGTTCAACTGAGAATTGAGCCAAGGGTGACTAAGGGCTAGAGTCTCAGTGGTTTCACCAGGCTCTATCTGACCAGTAAGTCTCAGCATTTTCAGAGTTTTGAGTTTTGCTCCACATTTTTCTCCCACTCTCTCCAGGAACCTTCTAATTTGACCCCCCTCACAACAGTTGGTAACGGTCGCTAGGCGGCATCTACTTCTGATCTCAGGGTCATGAAGACTGATGCTTGTGTGGTCCATGAGTCGCTTAGACGAATTGTTTTCAGGAGGGCTTTTCATTAGCTCTAATGCTCCACCATCCTATTTGGACATGGCTGGACCAGGACGCTTTCATAGGCAGTGTCCCTAAGAAAGACCAGGATCTACATTATACCTGCAGTCACTTGGTCACCTAACTCCTGGCATTTACTGCAGCAATTCTGCCGACACATCCAATAATCCCAACAAGGCAAAAGAACAAAAGTTTCTGCTGACTCCAAATCAGGGTTTGGGACACTTCCCGGTGCAGAGCAGTTGCTTGATTATCCATGTTGGGCAAGGAGAATGGGATAAGGAAGAGGATGGCTTTGGGCTTAATTTGGGAACTAGTTTGGAGAGTGGAAGGCTTCAGGAAAAAGCAGCTGTCCACAGGCTGTGTCAACATTTCGAAAGTTTCATCCCATCACAGTGGGATGAAAGTTGAAAAGAGCATGCAGATGGCTAATAGTGAAGACATCAGAGATGTGCGGGATACATACGGCGCAGTGCCTTCTGGACTCTGCGTAGCTTCATGGCAGTGCGATATGCTGAGAACTTAATGTTGTTCAGATCCGCTGCAAGGAATGGACACAGACCCACTCAAAACAGGCCCACTTAAATGAAAACCACAACAAACATTGCTGAGGGAGCCCTGAGCTTGTTGTTAAGGGTGTTGAAATAATTTGGAAATGGACACCAGTGATGTTGTACAACATGATAAATGTAATTAAATTGTACATGTCAAGGGTGTTGAAATAGCAAAGGCTACATATATATTTAAAACCAAGAACATTGGCTAAAACACACACACACACATATTTTATACCCACTAGATTGGCACTAAAGAAATGTCTGACAATACCCAAGTACATGTCAGTGAAGAAGTGGATGGATTGCAGTGGCATAATTAACACAGCCACTTTGGAAAAGACCTTGGTAGGACCTAGTAAAATTGAACATGGAGATACCCGACAGCCCAGCTAGCTAGCTTTCCTAGAGCAGTTATTTCCACACGTTCTTAACCAAGACACGCAGTAAGAAATTCCTTCTCATTTTACATCACGACCGAGTAAATATGAGAATGAGCATATACACATACACACAAATGTGCTGTGTGTACAAGGAAATGAAACAAACCTTTCAGGAAACAATATCCAAGTTGCTTTGATAAAGCTATGGCATACAAAAATGATTTTATGACCTGTAGACTGAGGAATTATAGGATCCCTAGTGGTGAGCACTTGGCTGCTGAGTTTGAACCTACCAGTTGCTCTATGGGAGAAGGATAGAGCACTCTGTTCCCGGAAAGATTTACAGCATTGGATACCCTGTGGGGCATTTCTACTCTGTCCTGTAGTGTTGCTATGAGTCAGAATTAACATGCTAGTAATGGGTTTGGTTTTAGACGCAAAAACATGCCCTGGAAAAATTCTTCCACGAGTGCACCAATGGACATTATTCTTACTAGGACCAAATGAGAAACAAGAAAAAAGTCCATCAATAGCATGGTTAAATAAACTGTAATATATAGAAGGGAATACTTCACAGCAGTAGAAACGAATGCATAAACAAATACCATTTGCAACATAATGGTGAGACCATAGTAGTAGCCAAAGAAAAGGTACACGAGAGTTACAATCAGGGCAGCCTTGGTATAATTTCCATACGTGATGATAAAATGGCTCAGGGGAAATCATAGCACCTCCAATTGACTGAGGTGCAGAGGGGACGGGAAGGTAGAGGGTTGGAGAAAAGGACTCACTTCCACCCTCACCACTTGTTGAATATGATTCTCTTGAATTCTTCCAGGGCAAAGGCATCTGTATATAGTCCCACCCAATACAAGAACTCCACATTCTTACCTAGGGTTTGGTATAACTCCGTCATCTTGGGATGGTCCCAGCATGTGGTTTGGGCCTGATGGCTACAAACAGAAGCATCAATAGCACTAGGGTCCACACCATCTTCCACCCACCCCCAACACACGCACCACTTAGTGACAGATTGGATGCAAGAAGCTGCAGGATCCGAGGGTGAACCCTGAAGATCCCAAAACACCTTTACCCAGGGATTCACCTTTACCCAGGTAGAATCTGGAGCTCTTGAGGATGAGGAAGAGGAAAAACTGGACTGGATGGAGGAATTCCAACAGACAAGGAGTGGCAAGGGCAGGTAGAAAAAAAGACAAATGACAGAGGGGGTGGACAGGTGACTGACCCACTTCTGATTCAGATGGTCACTCACTTGATGTAGTAAGGAACTTTATTGGGTGAGATTGCTCTTTCCCAGGGAACCTGGACGGAGGCTGTTAAGGGCAAAGAGAAAGAGGGAAAGTTGGCTACTATTATTCTTCAGGCCTCTGTTCACTACCATACTCTATCAGCCCAAAGAGCTGATAAGCCCAGAAGGGGATGTCCAACTCTCATTGCTCCTGAGGTTGAGGTTAATCCTCTAAGGAACAAAACTCTCTGTGAGGGCAAGGGATAAATATGTTGTTACTGGCATCCAAACATACCAGAAATGTGTCAAATGGCACGTACAGGATCCTCTGACCTTGGCCGTCCTCATGATGCTCTTCCTGCGGAGGTTGCCATTTCTACCCATTCAATGGCAGACAGCTAGAGTATGGCTGTGGATGTGAACCAGACGCTACTTTCTTCACGGGACTCAAAACCCTTCTTTTAGAACAGCAGTTCTCAACCTGTGGGTCACGACCCCTACGACCCTTTCACAGGGGTCGCCTGATTCAAAACAGTAGCAAAATTACTGTTATGAAGGAGCAACAAAAATAATTTTATGGTTGGGGGGTCACCACAACATGAGGAACTATATTAAAGGGTTGCAGCATTAGGAAGGTTGAGAACCACTGCCTTAGAACGTCAAACTTCTCAGTCCTATGTGTCAGTAGGAATCGGTACTGCTTTGGGGAGGAGCTCTAGAGACGTTATCTTGTGGCTGTTCCTGCTGCAGTTTCCCTGGGCAGAAGAGTCCTGTGCAGGTAGAGTTGCCTGCGATAATAATTATCATTGCCAATTATGTCTTAAGCTTCTATGTGCCAGATGCTATGTTAAATCTTGTGAGTGCCCACTGGCTTTTCATCCGTAGAGTCGAGTCCTTGGTCAGTGCTCTCAGTTGTTAATCCAAAGGTTGACAGTGTGAGCCCAGCCACATGTACTTTGGAAGGAAGCCATTGAAAACCTTATGGAACACAGTCCTACTCGGCCACACCGGGGGTAGCCAGGAATGCGAAGTCACTACCTGTTATATTTGCAACACCCTGGTCTCTTCCACCTTAATAACCATTCACCCAGATCATTTCACTAGGCCTTCTAACAGGTCTCCTTGCTTGTACTCTTACTTCCCCGAAATGGACTCCCAACAGTCTGAGTCTGTTAAAACACAAGTCTGATCATGCTATCCCGCAGCACCAATCTTTCCAGTGGCTCTTTAGTCCATTCAGAATAAATTCTGAAGCCCTTGCCGAAGCCTCCAAGACCTTCCGTGCTCCGACCTCTGGCTACCTCTCTGACCTCATTGCCTCTCTCCCTCCTGACTCCTTTCCATACTAGCCTCCAGGCTGTTCTGCGGGCCTGCTCCTCGCTTTAAATTCTTAGAAGATGCTGTAGCCTCAGATAGCCACATGATGCATTCCTTAACTGCTCTTAGGCGTCCGTTGTCACTCTCCTAGTGAGTCCTGTTCAAAATGGAAACACCTCACTGAAGTTCAGCTCTCCCTATTCATCCCTTTCTTGCCTTATTGTCCC